TTCCACTGCCATCCCGGTGCCCAGAAAGGGATGTCTGAGCCTGGCCTGAGGAGCCAGCTGTTCCTCCATCTGGGTGGGAAGGGGCAGGGGCTGGGAGCTGTCCTTGGCTGTGGGACGGGCCGAGCTGGGACATTACCTGCCATGCCATGCTGCTGGGCTGGGGGGTGAGGACTGTAGGGCTTGGCTGGCTTGTTTAGGAAACTGGAAAGCCCTACGCTGTGCGCCCATGGGAGCGGGGTGCCACGGGGAAGTGGCCTGTGACTGCCAGCTGGGGAGTGTCATGCAAGGGCCAACAGAGCCCCGAACAGCTCCAGGCCTTTTGCAGCGTGGCACACACTGAGCTCTTGACCGTGACCCTGGCTCACAGGCTGGGGTGACCACAGTGCCTTGCCCATGCAGTGCCACACGAAGGGCATGGATGGGGCTCTGGGAGGGAGCGGCAGTGAACCACTGCCACCCAATGGTGCCAGTCACCTTGCACCTGGGCCTGGAGGTGTCTTTTCCAAGTCCTTCTCCAAAGCCCTGGAACAAAGCCCTGTGCCTCCCTCTGATGATCCAGTGCTCCGGAGTTTGGGCTTTGGCTCTTAGCCCATCCTCTGCTCTCCGAAGTTCCCGTTTGATGCTTCTCTATCGCTCGCCCTGCTCTGGGCCGGTGGCTCAGGGCCTCAGGGGCTGGCCACGAGCAGGGGGACTTGATTTAGACTTGCCAAAACAAGTAGACAAGTGGCGGGGGGAGAAGCTCCCCGGGGAGCTGAGTGGAGCTCTGCGCCGGCCGAGTTCCTTGCTTGAGCTCGGAGTTTGCTTTGATCTCCCCAAGCTTGAAAGTTTAATTGAGTTTTTATCAAGTGCAGCTGAGGGAAGAAAGAGATGGAGCAAAGGGGGTGGCCTCGAAGCCCCGCCAGCCCTGTGCCTCCATCTGTGGATAACAGGGGGCAAAAACTGATTTCCTGGGGGCCGCGGGGGGCTCCTTGCAGTCTGCTTTTTGCACTTCTCAATGCACGATGAGCTGCTTGGGCTGTGTCTGCCCGGCTCATCCTCAGTTAGCATCATTCCCACAGCTGGGGGAAAGTTTCTTCCTTCTCAGGGTCCTGTGGCCTTCTTTCCAGCTTGGAGAGGGGCACGAGACAACATCGGCAGCATCTCGGAAAAGGTCCAAACCAGCCCAGCAGGCTCCAGGGAGAGAGAGGTCTGCAAACAATGATGCGCAGACTCTGACAACGAAGTTGCTGTGCAGCCAGTCTCCTGCAGGTGATCAAATCCTAGCGGGGAATCCTTGAGTCCTTGGCCCGGACCTGGACCCAATTGCAGCCAGCAGAAAACGGGGAATCTGGTTTGTTCTGTTCCAGAAACAGGCTAGGCTCCAATGGCTCTAAACTGAAAGAGGGTGCTAGGATCTGGGGTTTAATCTGAGTCCGGGCTTCAGTCCAGGACAGCCTCAAAGCTTTGATTCCTACCTGAAAGCTGCAGGCCATAAACTCCTCTTTGCTCCAGGAGAGCAGCACTGCAGTTGCCGCAAGCAAGGGCTTAAGGAAGGGCGTTTAAAAGATATTACCGTGCAACCCTTGCTTCTTGCACTTTCCCTGACCCATCGTGGCTGCAAAATGAGAGCACCACCGCTGAAATCATCAGTGTTCCTCTGGTGTAACTAGGACCAGAATTTGGCCCTTTCAGGCTGGTCCGAACACGTGGGAGGGAGAGGAGCACACCCCGCTGTCGTGTCAGCAGGGCCGAGCCCCTGGGTGCCCGGGCCAGGAGCTCTGCAGAGCCGCTCGCGGAGAGCAGCTTCTGCAGCAGAGGAGGGGGTCTCTGATGCACTGGGGGACCCTGAGGGGCCCCGGTGCAATTGGGAGAGGCTGCGGTGATGGGGGTGGACAGAGGATGTGAATGCAGGGACCGTGGGAGCTGGGGGGGATCCAGGCATGCCCAAAAAAGATGGGCGGAAAGCTGTGCAGACGGATGGGCTTCCAGGGGCCGTGGGGGTGCATTCAAAGGAGACAGAGCGGAGGCATGCCCCGGGAGCAAGGACACAGGTGTGCAGGGGTCTCTGCTCGGCTTGTGGCTGTGGCCGCATGGTGGACTGGCAGGGGTGGGGGGCAGCATTGGATGTCAGAGCTGCCGGGGGCACCATCAGCCTAGCAGGGTCTAGGACAGTGTCGCAGGTCTAGGCACTGCAAAGCGGGGTCCCCTCCTCAAACACACCCCAGGCTGGAGCTCGTGTCACTAAGCAAACGACTCTATTTAAACCAAGCAGCCTGGGAGCTACATCCATCCTGCTGTGCACATTAACCAGGAGCCCCCCAGGCCTGGGCTCATCCTGCCTGCTCCAAACAGGCTCTGGACCGCCTGCTTCCCTTCTCTCTAAGCAAGACCCTGCAGCCACCGCCCCTGCCCCACTAGTCAGCACCCAGCTCCGGGTCTCCCTCCATTTCGGCAAGGTGGGACAGCCCTGCCAGGGGTGCTGGACACTTGGGAAGGGCTGGCCAGGCCAGAAGCACTTCCTACTTAGCTCAGAGCAGCTAAACACAGCACACAGAACTAGCACTTCTTCATTTAAACCTGCTCGTGATATGAAGAGACAGTCTCCCCCGGGGCTGGCAGCGTTGCAGCCACTTTGCTCAGCTAGATGCTCTGTCCTCCACGTAGCCCCACGGGGGGCAACGGTTGGAGGAAGCAAGGCATCCTGGAAGCACAGCTGGATCCAGATGCTGAGCATGGAGGTCTCTCGTTCCCACTGCCCCTTGCTTTTCTTCCCCTACGGCTTAGGGGACCTTGCCACCTGTTATCATGGCATCTGGGTACCTTGCCCCTGGCTGCAATGGCGCTACTTAGGATGTGGTGTGGGGAGAAGGTGAAGCCCTCAGACTGGCTCTCCCCTGTCCTCCAGAAGGATGCAAAGATTGGTGTTTGGAAAGGACAGGGAGCATCAACCAGACCTTGGCTGCCCAGCGCAGGGCTACTCCTGGCTGCGCATCGCCATGTAACTTCATAGCCGTGTGGAAGGGAGCCCTGGATTGTCCCTACACACAGGAAAAGGTCTGTCCTTTGGCACAAGGATGAAAAGCACCAGAGGCTATAGGCCGTGCGAGGGTGCCTACATCCAACTGGCCCTGTCATCTCCCTGAAGGAAGTGCTGGTGGGGGTGAGAGATGCTGGGCTTCCAGGGTGTCAGGAGCATTGGGCTGGCATATGCGACTTGTTTCATGAGAGGAGACCTTGAGGGGCCATCATTGACTCCATGTGCCAGCATCTCTCCAGGTCCAAGGCCCAGGTCTGCTCCACGGAGAGCACGTCCACGGGGGCTTACACCTGGATGCCACTGGGAGAAGGTCAGCCCTGGATATGACCACCGTCACAACCAGAGCTGGGCACAGCCTTTGCAGGAAACAATTTACTCCTGTAATTCTGCTGCTTTTTCTTACCTCAAATTGTGCGTGAAGGGGTCACGATTTTCCGGAGTGGCACTGCTATTCGGGATCGACAGCTGGGTGTCCCTGGATGCTCCTGCAGCTCACTCCAGAGCAAGGAATTAATTGGGAATCACTGGAGTGAGCCCTGATTGAGCACAAGGCACACGGGGGAGCTTTGATCCCTTACTGGATAAGCATAAGCTCTTAAGGTCAAACTGCTGGCACGAATGCATGTCTAAGCCTCCGGCTTTGCTGTGCCTTGCAGTCTGGACCGGGAGTCACTAGCTCGTGGAGAGCATGCCGTGGCGGGGCTCACTGCTGCGGCACACTTGTTTAGTGGATGGAAGGGGCCACGGCCCTGCTTGCCTAGTCATAGCAGGTCCCGGGGCCACCGCAGCCCCCTGCCCCAGGGAAGCTTTGGGGATGCGGATTGCACGCATGCTGTGAGATGCACTCGCTACGAGGGGCTAAAAATACTCAGACATCCCAAGTGAGTCTGTCAGCTCCTTGCACACACGCACCCACACGTACACACCCCTTGGGGGTTCCCTCCCAGAGTACCCCCTCTGGTCTGGGATGCTGTGCCCAGCACCTGCCATGCTGCATGCTCCTATTCTGCTCATTGCGGCTCCCCCAGAGCACAGATTATGACCTTTGCAGCCGTGCTCAGCATTGCTCTGGCATGGACAAGCCAGCCCAGGATGCTGTTAACCTTGCAGACTCTCTGGGCAACCACTGAGCAGGAAACAGCCAGGGGCATTTGGGAGAAGGGAAAAAGCAAGCCCTTTGCTAATATTGCTAGCCCCGGTGCATAGCAATGTCTATGGCCAGCCGCTCCCAGAATGATCCCAGCATGGGAAGCACTAGAGTTGCTCCGAGTTAATCGTAGAAAATGAGGGTGGGAAGGGACCTCAGGAGGTCACATCTAGTCCAAAGCAGGACCAGCCCCAACTACATCATCCCAGCCAAGGCTTTGTCTACCCGGGTCTTAAACACCTCCAAGGATGGAGACTGCACCACATCTCCAGGTAACCTGTTCCAGTGCTTCACCACCCTCCTAGTGAGAAAGTTTTTCCTAATATCCAATTTAAACCTCCCTTGCTGCAACTTGAGTTAGCCAATCAGGATGCAGAAAAAATGCCGGGTGATTTAAATGACCAGCCGTGCACCGATGAACTTGCAAGCACTGATGTCCTAGTTCATGCCATGTTCGCGGCTTGTAGAGGGATCCGCTCTGCCCTTCTCCACAGCACGGGAGCATTTCACCCAGGGACACTGCCATCTATTTTCCTAGCTTGGTCTGAATGACTGCAATTAGTCCCGGGATAAAATGGCTTTTCCCAGCACAAATGCAACATCTGCTTGCATTCTCAGAGATCCACGGGATGAGGAAGGTACCGCAGTCCTCAGTAAGCTCTCTCCCTGCTCCATTACCCTTACCTTTATGATTTTTCATCTTGTGTCCAGTTTCAGCTTCCAGCTCTTACACGCTCCTATCTATAAGCCATCCTTTGGAGCAGGCTCAAAGACTGGACACATTCATGAAGAAACCCAAAGTCTGTTACTTTATTAACAGAAAAAGAGCTATAGCCATGGGAGGAACTGGTCATTGCAAATAGATTGCCTGGTTCTAGTCAAGACAACAGGCCAGTAAGACGGGTTTCTTTCCTTGTTTTTTTGGTCTGAGAAATTTGAGGTGGCAAAGCCAATGTGGGTGATAAAAGCCAGGGTCCTGGCTCCGTAGGGTCGCTGACACCCCTGGCTGCTCTCTGGGTGCATAGATTGGCCCCGGTCACTGTAAGGTACAGAAGAGTGGAAAGCCTAAGGTTCGGCAAACGAAGAACACCCCTTACCCCCTGGCACAAATCCTAGGGTTGATGCTTCACCGTTTCCTATCAGCCTGCCAGTTTGTAAGGCAGAGGATCACAGGCAGCTGGTCGGGGAGCTCTGTGTTACCAGGACAGATTGCAAAAAGGGTGCCTCAATGTGAGGGTGAGAAGAAGGCTGCTCCTATCCATCACGTCCTGGCTTGCCGGGCTTTAGGAGTGCCAGGATCCACCTGGGCTGGAGCTCAGGTGTGATGTCCAGGTGATTGCATGGGGCTGGGGAATCAGTATTTGGGAAGGAGCACAGTGAATGCACGTGGCGCAGAGCGGGAGGTGAGAGAAAGACAGAGCCTGGTGCAGGACTTCCCAGGGAAGCTGAGGGACAGGGGAGGAATATTGCACCAAGGAGCCCTCAGTCTGCAACCCTGGAGCCTGCTACCATCTCCGCCGCCCGCCAGAGACCAACACGGACCCGTGGAGCAACACGAACTCTGGAGATGCAGATGGCCTGGGCTTTGCTGTTAGGGCAGTGGCCAAGGGTTTGTCCAGGCTGCATTTCCACACTTGTCAGAGATGAAGATCCCGCTCAGCCCGGCTGGCATCACTGCGGTCCTAGGAGTGGGGAGCACCCACAGAAGGTGGCCCTGACCCCCCAGTTCTGGCTGGCTTGCATGCCCCCCAATGAGAGCAGAACAAAGGCAACCCAGCGAGCACATCCTGGCCGTGCATCCTAGCAGGCGCAGCAACCTCCCCGCCTGCGGCGGGCCTGGCCTGGTCTCTGCCAAAGGGATGCTCTCATTTCCATTCACGAAGTGGAGCCAGGTCCCAGCGGCTTGGCTCTGCCTTCGCATTCTCTGGCTTGTCCGGTCATCTCATTTGCTCCTGATAATGTTATCTCCTAGGATACTGCAATACGGCCCAGTCGGCATTGAGACAAACGCTTCCCACGTGAGCACTGAGGTACTGAGATGAGTCAAGTCCGCAGACCTGCCACCAGCTGCCCTGGGACTGGTGGCCCTTTGGGCATCACCTGCCCGTGCCATGAAGGACGGCGCTGCCACTCCATCCCTCAAACCAAGCGTCTCTGGCTGCTGCCTCCGTCGTTCGTTCCCCCGCGACAGGGCAGCGGTGCCTACGTCCTGCCAAGTGTTTGCCTTATTCTCAGTCCTGTTTGCTGGAGAAAACATCTGTTCTCTGCACAGAAAAAGGGTGATAAATAGAGAAAGAGAGAAAGAGAAAGAGAGAGAGAGAGAAAGAGCAGCCCCTGGACCGGTTGGGAAGCTGTCTCCTTGTCTTCCAAGCATGCTATTCAGGCTGTCGTATCTGCGCTCCGCAGTCCATCCCAGAGGTGCTCGGTTCACAGTGTAGGTTCAATCTGCCAAACAGATGGTGCGGCTAGGAGATGTTTCCAAATGAAGCTGGAACAAGGAGGGGTGGGGGGGTAAAGGCTGAGCCGGGAGCACGATACCGTCAAGCAGTGCTCGCTGCCAAGCCCCGTTGTAGCTCCCGGGAGACACCTCCCACGGCATTGTCTACCCCTCTGGGCTGAAAGCCGGGGGCCCTGGGGTCGGACCCGCCTTTGCTCTGATTTACACGGGGAACATGCAATGCTGCGACAGGCCGGAGGAAACCGTGCCACCCACTTCATTGTCCCGTGTTTCCTCCTGCTTCCTCGCTGTGGGCTTTTATCTTGCACTGGCAGCGCTTGAGCCCTGCGCAGGGGTGAGCAGCCTACGGTGCCACAGATGGGTCGCATGCAGGTACCTAGGACCTGGCTGCAGCCCACTGACCTAGCAAAAGGCACGGATGCTTTGCTTTTGCTTTGCAGCTCAATCCCTGCTCCTGTGGATGTCGAGGGCACAACGCCTGGATTCTTATCTCCTCCCAAGGCAAATTGCCAGTCAGTAGCAGGAAGGGAACGAAGGGCCCGTGGGAGGACCTGGCTGGTACTCCCCACCAGCGGGTGGGAAAGACAAAGCCGGCAGCACAGCTGAGCCCTGGGATGCTGCGACAGCTCTCCTGGGTGGGACCTGACTTCATCCTTGCTGGGATTTTGTTGCAAGGCAGGCACTGCCATGCTCTCTGCCTCCAAGCTGCAGTGGAGCTGGAATTCACCCACCAGTCCCCATCCCAGCCTGCCCAGTCCCTCTTCCCCTCTCCCACCCTGGCATTTGCCCCACGGCTGCAGGGCGAAGGGTGCAGCTGCCACCTCTGCCACCTCCTGGTTACCTTGGCTGAGCAGCTGCAGGTTACGGACCTCCTCCCGCACCTGGAGCTGCAGGACCTGCTGGAGGGCCTCCTGCCGCTGCGACTCGTGGATGATGCCCATGCGCTGCAGCTTCTCGGCGTTGAGCCGCAGCAGCGCACGACCTGTGCGGCACAAGCAGAGAGGTCAGAGCCATGCAATAGGCAGCCCCCAGGGGCCAGCGAGCCAAGGAGGCCTCCAAGCTGCCCCCATGCGGCTGTGACCACGGGCCATGGGATGGAGCCGCAAACTTCATCATCAGTCACTGGGTGCATGGCCTGTCATTTCCATATGCAAAGTTTTGCATGGATGCTGCCCCGGGACGGTGTTTGCACTGCCTGCAATGATCTCAGGCTGTGGCTGCTAAGGCCAGTAGTGAATGCACTCACACAGCTCCCACTCCCTTCCTGGGGAGAGTCCCCACCCCACATCAGGCTTGCTGTCCACACTTGCATGACTTGTTCGATCTCCAGGGTGTGCAGAGGCCCTTCCAGCTGGGATCACCCATCTCAGGCGTTTCCCCTGGACCGGACAGAGCTGGCACTCCATTGCAGGTGGCCATGGAAAGGACAAGCCAGAGCCACTGCATGCTCTTCACCCCGCACCCAGCAAGGCCAGTGTCGAAGAGACAGGGCAGGACTCTCTGGACAAGCGCTTGCCCTGGGATCACATCATCCCCAGGAAGGCTGGTGCCCAGAGGTGGGATCTTTCTCATCCCCACTCCCTCGCTGCAGCAGGGTGTATTTTCGGTGAGCCCCCTCTCCACCCCGGCACACCAGCTATCCCACGCACTGCTTCAGACGTACCCATCAGAACACATTAGTGTCCGCATGAGCTGTGCCAGTCCGGGGGCTATTAGCAGAGCGATTTACAACCAACTTTTGTCCCTGTCTCCCTGAGTGCATTGCCTAATGCTTCCTTTATCTCCGATGCCAGGACTTGGGTGAGCTTGCATTAGTGTTTTATCATCCCCGCAGGCCGGGAAGCTATGGCATCCCCCTTCCCAGCCCCATTGCTCCCTTCCTCCCCACCCACCCCGGCAGCCTGCTCTGTTATCAATCTCTGCTGCACAGAACAGGCTGCACACAGGGCAGGGACCGGCCCAGCACGGTTGCTTTGTAAGGACTGGGGTCTTTTGTAGAGTCTCTTCCAAGAGAGCCTTGCCCCTGGAGGGGACCATCCTGGTGCCCTGTTTCCCCATCCTTGGCTCCTTCCATTCCCAGATACCTCACTGACAGCCTTAAAATACTCATCTTGCCGCATTGCTGACTGTCGGTCCCCATGTTCTTCAGCAAACCACCCTTTGCTCTTATTTAAATCGCCAAAAACTCATGTATGTGCAAAGTGCGATACCATTAAGCCGCACAAAAGGGCAATTGTCTCCACATGTACAAGCGCCCCAGATCACTAATTCAGGATGCTGCTGCAGCCTGGCTGCAGTGAAGCACGCTACTCAGGAGCCTACCTGGATGCTCAATGCCAGCACAAGCCATCACACCTGGACAGGTGGGCTTCTAGGCCTGGACTTGCATGACATGGGCAGGCTTTCGGCCATCAGAGGGCAGCAGGGACTGACTGGTACCAAACCTCTTGAAGGCAGGGGTTGTCCTGCTCTTATGCTGGGTCGATGTGTGACTACACCTAGTGATGGCCCAGCTGGAGCCTGCAACAGTTAAGCAGGCCTGTTCTCCAGTATAAAGTGCAGCAGGTCGATGTCCCGTCCTGGTTGTGCCTGCTTTGACAACCTGTTGCTGGTGGTGGCAGAGCCCTCCACCCGCCAGCACTCATGCCAGCCCTGCCAGCTGTCTGGCAGCTGCAACAGGCCCTTGAGGACCCTTCCACACCTTCTGGCAGTGCTCATGGAGCTGTCTACTGGAACCAGTGGGATCTCTGCTTTCGGGCACAACTTGGTTTAGTGTGGAGGGGGTATCGGTCTCAGCATGCACCACTCCTCGGTGCCTAGGAAGTCTGTGGGAGAAGTGAGGCATTCCCTGATATGACTCTGTCCTGAGCATCTAGGATGGATCCACAACTGGAAAAAGCCCTTTGAGAGTTTTGCTAAAGATAGGGGAAGTCTCATGAAAGCTGCAGATCTCACCCGACAGACACCTATCAAGACAGGCCCAGCGCCAGGAGCTCTGTCGAGCTGGGTCTCATTCGGAAAAGGTCTGACTGGGAATAGGGAACCATCTCACTTGTTTGTGGACGTGGTTCTTCTTTTGGAAAATGCTTCGATGCTTTTCTTCCCCGAGTGTAACTTCCCGAGAACCAGGCACAAAGCAGAGTCACAAATATTAGCAGACCATTTTTGAAAACCCCCAAACACTGGCAAACGGGGCTGTTTCGAATGCTGCAAAACAGAGGCATGCTAGGAGTTTGGAAACTCTCTGCCAACACCTGTCTGGGTTCGAGCCTGCTGCGTGTATCAGCTGATCTCATGAGATTCCTCACTGTCTGGGTCAAAATCCTCGTGAAAGCAGTTTTCTCCTGAGACAAACCCCAGCCATGAGCAGCCTTGCAGATGCATTTGATTTTGGCCTATCTCTACAGTAAACTCCATGCCCTGTAAATCGTTCCTCAACTTCTTAGTTGCACTTTTTGGTCATGGCTGGACTCTGAGGAGCTGTGTCTTTATAGTTCAGGCAGGTTAGACTATCTGGCAGCATTTTTTTGCCTCTTCCTTGGCTTGCAGCGGCCTGGATGCAGTCCGTGAGGACTGACGAGGCAAGAAACTGATATTATGTGGAGCTGATATCTGTTCCCTCCATAAGCATCTCTGCATTTCTAATGACTCCTCCAGCTACTCCCAGTATTTCTGGCTCTCACTCCGTGGTGTGATGTGATAGGAATCCCACTGCTGTCACTGAGCAGGGCCGGCAAGCAGGAAAAAGGGTCCAGAGGCCATAGCATCAGACTGGGGCTGGAGAATGCAGTTTGACCCCTTGCTTAGGCATCATGTGTGCAATTCGCCTCCGTTCCCTGCCCACCGAATGAGAGCCCTGCTTTTCAGCTGCCCGGGGCATTGCAAAGATCTATTAATAATAATTGTGCAGCGCTCAGCTCCAGATAAGGAAGATTTCTAAGAACCTGGAGAGACGGCGTCTCCAGGGAGAGCTCCCGTAACAGGCAGAGCCATGGAGTCAGCCATCACCTCTTTGCAAACCAAGCCCATGAAAGCCTAAATCCAGAGCTGGGGGGAAAGAGGAAACCGATTTTGGTGATTAAATTAAAAAAACCAAAAAAATCACACAGTTGGGCACAAGTCCTATGTTGCATTCATGCATCCGCTTGCAACTTCGCTGGACAACTTAGTTCAGTTTAAAAGGCGGCTGTCCGGGTGCCAGGTTGGACCAACCCCTCGTTATCAGGGATCGTCTCTAATGAGCAGGGCTGGAGGAACAGGAAGGCAGGTATGGGGATGCACAGCTCCTGTGCTGCCTGCCTCTCCTATCAAATCCCCCCACAGTCTTCTCTTCTGCAGACTAAATAAGCCCAGTTCCTTCAACCTTTCCCTGCAGGTCATGTGCCCCAACCCCTGAACCATTTTTGATCCCCTCTGCTGGACTCTCTTCAACTTGTCCACATCCTTTCTGTCGTGGGGGGGCCCACAGCTGGACACAGGACTCCAGATGTGGCTTCCCCAGTGCCGAACAGAGGGGAAGAATCACTGCCCTCCATCTGATGGCAATGCTCTTCCCAATGCAGCCCAGGATGGTGTTAGCCTTCTCGGCTACAAGGGCACACTCCTGGCTCATATCCATCTTATTTGCTCCCATCAGGGTTAGCAGAGTGCGAGGGAGGAGGTGGTAGGTTCACAGCTGCCTCTAGGACTTTGGGGAGGACAGCAATGCAATGTTTTGCCCTTGGCCTCTCACCACGTGCCCCGCACCCCTCCGCAGGGTCCCTGGGCAGGGAATGGAGAAGTACTTTGCTCAAATAAAGGCCGCTGAGATTTTCCTTAAGATCCTGGGGTTCAGGTGAGCTTGTGAGCAAGCCCTGCCCATTGACAGCTGGGTCCTGCAATGCCTCCCTTCCGTCCAGCCTGTCTGCCATGGTTTTAGATGGCACCGACGCTGGGTGGAGGCAGGGGAGCCCCACCGGCAGAAATCAGGGCTGGATCCAGCCCGGTGAAGCTTGGGGGTGCTCAGCCACGTGGTTTCTGCATGCACAGGAGCTGAGCACAGAGGTCAGACCTGGGGGTGCGCTCGGACGCTTCGAACCCTGCCATGGGGGGACCGGGGTTGGGATCCGGGGTCCCTTCCAGTGCTGAGCATGGTATCAGCTACCCCGGGGTCACCTGCCATCCTCTTCCAGTTCCTCACCCAGATGGTAACATTCCCCAAACACCAGGGCCTGCTCGTTATCCTAACGAACCAAGCAGCTGCAGGTGACTCGCTTTGCTGACCCCTCGGGCAGCATGCAGCCAGCCCCCGCGGCACCCCTACCTGTGATGGCGTGATGGGAGAAGGCCTCCACATAGATGAGATAGTTGTGTGGGCAGTGCTTCTTCAGCCATTTGCACACGTCCTGCTGGGTCCACAACACCACCGGCTTGGTGAGGCTGCCCAGCGTCGGGCTGGTGTGGTAGAGGCCGTAGTGGTCGCAGGCACGACCCTGTGGGGGTTCGGAAGCAGGACATGGAGAGAGGGCAGGGCGTTAATGGACTCTGGTAGCATCGTGCTCCTGGGAGCAGCCTCCCACTGATATCCATGCGGCTGCCACTGCAAGCTCCATCCCTGGGCTGGGCACCTGCCAGGCCTGCATCAAGCTAATATTTTTGGCCACATGAGAGCTGCAAGGCTCTGGCTTATGATACAGAAGCATCGACTGCTGGCACTGCTGCTTTGGCAACCATTAGGGAGGAACAGGGGGCTCTTCACCCTTTAAAACCCCGCTTTGGTCCCTGTGATAGGGGCCGTGCTGGCGCTGGGCATGGCCTGTCACTTGCCACGTCCTTCCTGTGAGCAGCAAAGTGCATGTGACGTCCCCGGGAGCTGCTGTGTGCAGCTGTCCCAGCCACTCCTGATGCTGCTCGTTAAGAATCCAATTAGCAAGATGGCTCAGGGCTGTGACACAGGATGCTCCAGCCAAGGAGCAGGGGCTGGCGCCTTCCCCTGCACTGGAGCCCAGGGAGGGGATGTTTCCCCCCCATCCACCTCCTTTATACAGGAGGTACCGTACTCTCTCCAGACCTCACCCATGTCCTCCTGCCCCCAGGAGGGGTGCGATAGTGCCGGGGGAAGCTGGTTGCTTGCTCTGTCACACAGTGACTGGCTTATTTCCCTCCCCAGACTACCTCTCTACCAGATGCAGCTTTCCAGGATCTCCTTCCTGTCCCTGCTAAGAGATAGATCATAAAATCATAGGATTGTAGACACTGAGGGCTGGAAGGGACCTCAGGAGGTCACATCTAGTCCAACCCCCTGCTCCAAGCAGGACCAGCCCAAATAGATCATCCTCTGCCCAAGGCAGGACCAGCCCCAACTGCATCATCCCAGCCAAGGCTTTGTCTACTCGGGTCTTAAACACCTCCAAGGATGGAGACTGCACCACCGCTCTGGGTAACCTGCTCCAATGTTTTATTACCCTTCTCATGAGAGATAAGGGATAAGCCCCCTGCATCGTTCCCCAATTTTCCATGCCAGGAGCCCCAGGTGCGAGGTCCCGGCCTCGCTCAGACAGAACTCGCACCTGGGAAATGCACCCTTTCCCCCCAGCGCCTTCAGGCTGCAGATACACTGGAAAGCACCCAGGATGGTCGAGACATCAGTTTGGTGGGGAGACCCTCACACCAGGCCCAGTGCCTCAGACCATCCCTTCCTCCAGAAAGCAGGGAACCCCAGTCCCCCATCCTGTATCGACCCTCGTTAGGGACAGCTCTAGGGACCGTGGGTCCTTGCTGCCCGTGAGCCCGGAGCCACTGCAAAGTTTCCTTCCTCCCCTTTGTCTGAGAGATGCTGCAGCCCTGCAAGGTCACCGCAACCTGCATTAAGCTCAGGATGAAGCAAATTACATGTCATGAGCAGTAATAGTGGGGAGCTGACTACTCCAATTCTTCACGGGGAACGTTTCTGGCCGGCTGGAGCCCTCGTCCTGTCAGGAGCCCGTCCAATTAGACGGGGAAATCGGTCCGGGAGCCCAAAGTCCGCGGCTTCTTCAGCACGCCTGAAAAATGAAGGAATAATGGCCCTGGCTGGAGCCTGGCACAGCTCACAAGCACCATTACAGGCTCTAGGAGGGCTCCACATGGCCCTGCCTGCTGCAGGTGATAACAAGGCCTGTATCTGCATGGCAGCGTGGAGTCAAATCACGGTCATGGATGTGATTGCTCCAGAGTGGCAGAGGCTGCGGTCACGGCCCCCGCCCGCCCAAAACATTTGTTTTATCCATGCGAGAGTCTGGGGGTGCAGCGTTTGCAAAGGGAAGAGAGCAGGGAAGCGAGGGGTCCGCTCTTCGCTCTGCTGAGGACGCGCGGTGTGATGAGTTAGGGCCGTTCTCTGCACCGCGGGGCTGGGCTGCACAGACGTGGGGCTGCAAGGTAAGATGGGGCAAGAGCTCACTGCTCCTCCAGTCACTGCTCACCCCGCGAGAGCGGGGGAAGCTACTCTGCCTTGACCCTGGGGTAGGAGCATGCACGTGGGAGATGTGAACCTGCTGCAGACACATCCATGGCCGCTAGTCCACGGAGCCATACGGTCACTGCGTGAAGTGCTCCTCAGTTCTCTGCTTGGCAAAGAAGGATACTTAGATTTGCCAGCTTTCCAGGGAAAGAAAGCTGCATGCGTCATGTCTCGCAGCCCCCTCCCATGCAGTTTGATGTTGCCCTATAGAGGTAGCAGCAAGGGAGGCAGGGACAGGAGGCCAGCGGGAATGCTCTGCACGGGTTTGGTGCAGAGAAGCTGTATTTATGAGCATCAGCTGCAACCCAGCCTGGGCTGGAGTTTCCAAGTGAGAAGACATGGCAGGAGCGGTGACAGATAATTGGAGACCAGCAATAGCAGAACCTATAGTTGAGGAGGGAGAATTAAAAAAAAAAATGATCCAGGCAACTCCAGACCTGTTTGACTGGCCTCAGCTGCAAAAGAGGCCGGGACCTCGCACCTGGGGCTCCTGGCACACCAGGCTTTGAAGAGTTTTTCCAGGAAGCAATAATTAAAGGCAGACTGATCCGTTATCTTTCTTTGATCCGATCAGTGATTTTTTTACACAAAGGGGATGCAGGAGATCAGGGCTGCAGCAAAAGAGGAGATGCAGTAGCATGGGGGAATGGAGAAGATGGGGGTTAGCACAAGAACCGTAAGCGGGTCCAGCGACTGGCAAAGGACGAGCTGCAGTAGGTGGTGTTGAAAGGGAATTAGTGGTCTGAGGGGAAGGCACTGACCGAGCTCGAGGACCCGTCTGGGGATTCATCTCATTCAATATTTTCATACTGACACGCACACAAATGAGGAGCGGGCTAATGAAATGTGCTGATCACGCCAAGCGGGGAGGCATCATCAGTGCAGAGAGGCCTGGGATATCCTATAGGAAGAAGTGGACACCATGGAGGACTGCAAGAAACAAAATGGGATGGGATTTAGGAACACAGCTGTGCCCACGGGGTGGGGGGCTGATAACGAGGCTGTCTGCTCCCGGCTGGTTGCTAATCAGGCAGAAACAAGTGAGGTGGGGAAGGTCTTGGCCGTGCCAGCTCGTCGCAGATCCCACTGCTCTGCTGCAGCCATGAGAAAGGCAAAGCCAGCCCTGGGATATACCAGGAGTGATAGGGAAGTAGGAATATCAGTGCCCAAGGCCTCAGTGAGCCCTGATCTGGAGCGCCGTGTGCAGGGGAGGTGGGTTTGAACTGGAGCAGGTGCAGAGATGGGCTGGGTGTGGGACTGGGGAATGGATGCACAACTGGAGTCTGGCTTTCTAATCCCAGCAAAACACCAGGGGAGAGGGGACGGGGCTGCTCTTTACAAACCCATTGTGGGGGTAAGCCGCAGGGAGGGACGAGAACAACCCAGGCTTCAGGACAACGTGGGCACAGGAGCAATAAACTGGCCTCATGCACATTTTAGGCTGGGAATCAGGCATCAGCTGGAGGAGTGAGGTGTTGGGGACAAAAAGCTACCCCGATCTCAGTTGCTGAAGGGGGTTATAGGCCAGGGCTGTGCCCGAGGGCGGGTGACCAGGCTCGGTGGCCTTACAGGTCCCTGCATGTCCTGCGTTCCTAACATGTCCGGAGCATCCGTCTGGGAAAGCAAGGTGTCGGAGGCAGTGCCTGGACGTGGAAGGGTGGGCAGGAGCCTACCCGTGTGTGGAAGGGCAATGGTACGGACTTCAGTGTCCCTGCATCAGCTGCCTCATGTGAACACTGACTAATTAAGCATGCCTAATGAAGGAACAGGCCTCATTAGTGGAGCAGGAACTTCAGACATGTGGCTGCTACTGAAACTAATGACACGGCCCTCAGAGAGGCCAAGCCGGAGGCAGCGCGAGGGCAGCCAGGAGATTGGACGGCAGCCCCAGCCCTACGTAGGACCGCGCGGCTGTCCTTCCTCAGCAGTGTCCCTGTAAACCCACGTGAGTCTCGTCCCCATGGACTCGAGTGTTAGAGCAGGGGCTATGCGGGTTATAAGGGTGGGAATGTCTCCATCCCCCCCCGTTGCACACAAGCAGTTGGATGCCTGAGCAGACTTTAGACAAGAGAAGGGTTTTCTTAAGTACAATTTGCACGCGATGATGGACGAGGCTAGAGATGGACAGGAAATGCTTTGTCCTGAGTAGGAGCAGCTTTGAGTTTCCCATTTCCCCCCATTCTGCATCAGAAGGAAATGAAGATCTTAATGTTTTTGTGTGCATCAAATGAGCAAGAGCCTCAGCCCCGCATACCCGGGTGTCCTCGGGCAACGTGCTCACCTGGGATGGGGGAGATCCAGGATCCCAGAACTACTGGGGCTGCCTAGGAGCAGGGACTTGGACCAGCAGGTCCCCTCCACCCCACTCCCAGCCCCGGAGGCTGGTGGCTGGAGGTTATTTGCTATCACAACAAATGTTAACCTGCCTATGCAAAGCTGGGACACGGAGGGGAAAGCGAGTCCAAGCACAATCAGGGTTGGGGGACCAACTCAAGGAGCAGACTGCAGATTCCTGGTGGTTAAACTTATTTTTGCAAATTGGCAACCACCTCTCTCCCCATGCAGCTGCCTCGAACATGACTGTGCAGCCAAACAGACGCACCTGGAAACAAATCTCCCCAAGCATGAAATAAAACCTCTCTTCTCCCACTCCAGACCAGCCCCATCCCACCCCACTGACCTGGACAGCTCCAGTCGTCACCGTGGGGGTCCTTACACTAAATAAAGGTCCAGACAGGTCCCTCCTGCCCATGCTGCCACACGCTATCGATTGGCAGGTTCTCTCTTGTCATTGCCGGACGATGGGAAGCCTGGTGCGGGTCCCTGAGCTCGTGGAGGTGGTAAATGGGAAAGTGTAATGAATCAAGGGCTCATTTTCCAGCTGGCTGAACTAAATGGTCTCTCTGATAAACTCGCAGCCATGAATATCAAATGCTGGCATTTAAGGGACCTGCTCCGAGGTTGTTCTCTACTGGAAGGAGACCAAGGAACCATCTGCAAGGTACCTGCCTTTTCATGCCCTCTGTGCTAGGGGTCCTCTCTGCCAGGGCTGCAGGGCAGGGGTTTAGAATATAGTCAAATCATGTTGCATTAATTCACCGGGCTCTTCTTCACTTGTAGGGACGGTCTTTCTTGCCTCCGATCCCTGCGTGGCAGTCAGAGGTGTTAGAGATGCAAGTTGTTGGAGCAGTGAGTCTCGACGCTCAGCCAGCACCGGACAAGATGGGTCTGTACAGCAGGGCAGAGCAGGAGTGCTCCCCAGGCCCCTGCAGGAAAAGGGGTCACCAGCTCCCCTTCTCCAGCAGAACCTAGCTGAGGAAACCAGGATTGGATGGCTGAGCTGCCGGCTTCATTTTATCCTCTTGGAGGACAGCCATTGCTAGCTGCAGCTGGGTTTTGGGTTTTTTTTTTGCTGAGCTGCTGCCTGCACTGACAGCCTGTAGCTCTCTGGGGAATGAGCACTGTGCTGGGCCTCCGTGGTAGGTCCCCCAGGGGCCACAGAGACAAAGCTGCCTTGGAGGGGGTCAAGGAAGATTGTAATCCTGGGGTAATTCAGACCCTGGCTCCAGCTGCTCTACGGGGCAGAGGAGCAGTTTGTCTGGGCAGGATGTGTGCTCTGGCTGGCTGGGAATCCTCTGTCAGGATGCTTTTCCCACGGGGGAAACCTCTAGCCCCAGGGATGATTTCCCAGGGGAAAGTTTCAAACTTTGCAGAAAACTTTTAATTTGCTGTCAGGAAACAGGACCTCCCAGGTCTACGCCTGCTTGGCCAGGGACCAGATCCAGCCCCTGGCGCTGCCCTAGGACTGCCTTTGCTACAGGAACCGGACCACAGGCTGGAAGAGATGCAGCTGCTCAGTCCAGCAGTGAGGAGGGTGAATAGAAGCACCCCAGACATCACACGTAGCACCCCCAAACCGCTTGCCTCCCGCCTGGGCTGGCTTTGAGGGGACTCATGAGGGCAACCAAGAGTTGGATGGCTTGGCAGGTTCACAGATACCTCAAGGACCCCACGCAGAGGACAACTGGGCCCAGAGCCAGCCAGAAACTGCAGCACGGGGTGGGCTCCTAGCAGCCAGGATGACATGCTGCATTGTGATATGAAAAGCAGGATTTAAACCACTGCTTCCTGAGACTGACCTCAGTATGTCGGGTACAGACAGAGTTGCTCTCTGCACCCATTCAGCTCCTGCAGCCTGTTCAGCACGGGGTCTGCACTAGACCCTAAAAGCCATAAGATTTCCCTGCTCTATGAAATCCCCTAACCCCTGCTGCCTACATGTTCCCTTTCTCGAGCTGCTTTCTGCTCCTGCTTGCTCCCTGCTATCCCCCACACTCCTTTCTCAAGGTGTCAGCCCCTCAGAGGTTAGAGAGACCCCCCCAGCCTTGCACGGCAAGCCTTTTGATGGAGGCAGAAGGAGAAAAATCACTCGCAAACATAGGCTCGTTGCTTCAGTACCGCCCTAGGCTTTTAGCAACACCGGGATGTGACGAGGCACATTGCCTAAATCAGGCTGAGAGATGCTGCAAAACGTGCCAGATTTTGAAGCATTACAGGCCTGTGGCTCTAGGACAGCTACTGCAGAGCTCCCCTCATTGCAAAAGGGTGCAAGGAGGGGACAGGCTCTCTTCTGGTGTATCCAAGCCCCAGCGGGCCAGGAAGGCAGGACTGGGGAGGGGCAGTTTTGGGGAGCACTCTTGAAATGGAGTGCTTGGCTCTGCAGAGGGACAAAGCTAACAGGACCCCCCTGTCCTGCAAGCAGAGGTACAGCCAGGCTGGCAACCCTCGTCCCACCCTCAGCCAGGCTGGCACCCCAGCACCCCACAACAGTCAGCTCCGTGGGAGATGGAGAAAGAGAGCCCGTTTGCATGCACAAGCTGGGAGCCCTCCACAGTTCACATGTGCTTGTGCTCCAACCCGCCCGCTCCTGCTGACACCGTGGGTCCCGATTCAGGAAGCAACGTGTGACTTCTGGTAGCTCACACTCGATGCGGTACCCCTCCGGCAAGCAGCTCGGCCCATACCTGGCCCCACCAGCCATTGTTAATTAAAAAATAAATTGGAGGCACATTTCCCCAGTGGCGGCACCTTTGTGACTTTTATGGAAATGGGAGACTCTTCCCTAGCTTGCTCCTGCGGCCCTAAGGCTGAGGGCAAGTGAAACTCGGGGGCATCTGACCCCCAAGTCTCTGGGCTTGGGGCTGCATATAGGATGCCCACCAAAGTATTGGAAGTATCTGAATCCCCAGGCTGGGATGGAGGATACTTGCCACTAACAGGGCCATGTATTGGATGATTCAAATGGATTTGGACCTGATCTGGCCAATTTGATCTGGGACATGAAAAATTTTCCTTAACACCCCCCCACCAGCCTCAGCCTTTGGTGTATCCAGTACCCCCATCCTCAGACCTCAAAGGCCCTCATTTAAGTTCAGAGCGTGTGTCTGCTTTATCCCACATCTCCCCCTGTGCAGCCCTCAGGGACCCTTGGATAAGCCCAGTGCAGGCTGCACATGAAGCATGGAAGAAGGAGGAACATCCAGCCTTTTTGCAAGGCACCGCTCTCCACCCTTCGGTCTCCCAATGCGTCCTCGAAGGACGCTTTGCAACTGCTCCTCTCTTGCACAAGCCGTCAGCGAAGCGCTCCAGCAGCCAGGGGAGCAGAGGGCAAGCTGAGCTTCCCGGAAAGACGGGGGAACTGGAGCCCCCCTAATCCCCAGAGCAGTCTCCGTGCGGTGGCACCCGTGTGAGACGGTGCTATCTTGGCTTGCCCTCTCTGGATGCAGCCCCCGGCAAGCTGGCTCCAGCTGGGCCTAATCAACACACTGCTTCGTGCTTCTATCCAGCTTTTCATCTTCAAAAGCCCTTTGCAAACACCAACAAGGCTTGGGAAGGAAAGCAACTTCTTCTCTCCGCCCCTTCCCTCCCCACAGAGGGGTTTCTGAAGCTCCCTTTGCATCCTGCTCTCTTTCAGGTAGACAATGCAGAGGCAGATGTGAGTGGGGGGCCCAGTCTGTGAGATGCTGAGAGATGCTCCTGGTAGCATGGATGGGAGGAGAGGGAGCGCAGTCCTTTCCCAGACCAGGTGGAGACCAGGCCTCCCCTTGCTCATGAGGTGGACAAGCAGAGGGCGAGCTCAGAGGTCAGGACCAGCCAGAGCCTGCAGCGACGGGAACTTTATTTCATGCAGGGACACGGGGAAGGGTGTATGGAGGTGGGGGTGTTGCAATGGCCCCTGTAACCCAAAGGAGCACATCCCCCCAGCACAGGCTGCAGGAGGGGCAGAAGGGGAACGCCCCAGCCCGGCGTGGCGGGTACCTGTGAGCCTTCAGTTCCTGGCTGCTGAAGGAGCTTGACCGTCCTCCCGCCGGCCGGCCGCTGGCTGCGCCCATCATGCCAGGTGAGGCTGCTGCCCGGGTTCCTCTGCAGCCGGTAGTTGAGGTTTTCGGCCGACACCGTGTGCTCCAGCAGGTTCTGGCAGAAGCTGAAGTGAGCGGTCGAGGCTGGGGGAGATGGAGAATGGTGACATTGGGGTGAGCTGCCTTCACCATGAAGCCCACCCCACCCCATGTGCCACTCGGGAGCGAGAGGACCTGTGTCAGCAGGACCCGGGGAGGTGGTGGGAATGAAACATGCTGCAATGCCCATGGCATGTCCCCTGCCCCTGGCTAGGCTGGCAGAGAATAGCTTATTGCTGCCACCAGCTCGTGGCTGAGCCCCAGAGGAGCAGCTTTTTTGGGGCAGGGAGTTACCACGGCCCCATGCAGAAAAGCAGCCGTGTCTGGGGAAGGCAAGTGAGGCCATTATGCAGGCATCGGGGCTTGCTCCAGAGAGGCCTGGGGGACAGGAGTCATCCCCGCTCCTCGGAAGCAGCAGGAAAAACATCAGCACCTGGCATCTCTGAGTCTGGAGAAGCCACATGCCCTTAAAGACACTGGCTGTGGCCCACGGGTTACCGAGGTGGAAACGATCTGAGATCTCAGATCATGGCTCTTAGCAAACCAGCTGTGCCTTCCCCTGGACCCGCTGGTGGATGGGAGCTGCGGTGTGAATGCGCACACAAGCTGGCTCCCAGGCAGACACTGATGTGAACCCCCTTGTTGCCTAGCCGGGTCCCCTCCAAGCAGAGCCACGGTGCAGGGGCTCCCCGGCTGGCTCCGTCTTTGCTAGGGGCGATGCAGGTTTAAACACAGCCAACTGGAGGCTTGTGGGAGGGAGGCAACATGGGATAAACAGCCCACGGAGGACGAGAAGCCTCAGGCAGGGCAAAGTGCCACGTGGCAGGGAGGTGGATCCGCCTGAGCCCACGGCAGGCGCTGCATGGGGCACTTCCCCCATGTCCTGACCCCACGGTTGCAGAGGGACCCCCAGGCAGCTCTAGATACCCCCAGCTTGCAGGATTGCATGGCATAGCATTCGCTGGGAGTCCTGGAGAGGCTGGAGCTCTCCGCTGTAGGACTAATCCTGTAGGAGCTGAGAGACTTGGAAGGAGACCTGAGCAGGCACCACTGCAAGCTGGACCACTGTCAGGCAGGGAAGGGGAATAAAAGCCCTTGAAAACCCCCTTTCCAGCAGGGCTATATGCAGAGCAAGGCAGGGCAAAGGGCCCGGCAGCCCTCCCCAGGCCTCGACACACCTGCCCCTTAGAGCATCCTCAGTCGGGGACGGCTCAGCCTTTCGGGTCCGCGCGTGGAGGGCCGGACCCACCCACCAGCCGGGCTGAGACGCTGCCTCTTGCCACTTCTCAGCCGGCACATGGAGCGAGCTACCGTTACCATGGCAACAGATGCTCCGAGAGCGGATCTGCACCGCGCCGTCTTGCCAGCACCGTCCTGGCCCCCTGCTGCCCCCCAGGCCGGTCTGCCCCCTGCCCCCAGGCGACTGGTGGGAGAGCCCTGTCGTCTTTGCACAAGGATGCCGGGGCACCGGTGCCGTGATGGAAGCAGGGGAAGTTTCCAGCCCACCCCGGTCCACGCAGCAGAGGCATATCTGGAAGGCGAGAGCAATGGTCCAGCTCCTTAGCTGGGTCAACTGGGGTTGCTCTCTGATGTGTGGCCAGAGCAAGGCTCCTAGCACCCTAGCGAGACACCCCAGCTGCTCTGCTGCTGCACCCCGGGCTTTGCACTAAAGAGCAGGATCAGTGACGACGACTCCCTGGTCTGGCTCCAGCGCATCGCTGGCCACCCGCGCAGTCTCAGGGGACCACTGGACCCTTCTCCACCCCAACGCAGCAGCACATGTGCCCCCCTGCATGTCAGCAGCAAGAGTGGCAATGCCAGGGTGTTTGAAAGACTCAGAGGAAAGGTGCTGTGGAAGTGATGAGCCATCTTTCCTTTGACTCCAGCCTGAACTTGGGCTGCTAAAAACTCAAGGAGATGCTCCACACAGAGGGAAAGACACCACTGCCCCTATGTTCCCCCACCTCCAGGTGCCTCCCAGGCTTGAACATGGCACAGATGTCCTATTTTTCTTCATGCACTTTGATTCCCTGTTTGCAGAGACTCAGGTAGACACAGACCCCAATGCTCACCCCTCGCTGCTCAGCCCCAGCACTGCCACCGTGATTGCCCCCATGGTGCTGTCATGGGGAGGTGTGTTGGACACCAGGTTTATAGCACGGTTTAGTTCGTTGCTGAAAACTGGTGTAGCTCGGGGGTGAGGGGGATCTGCTGGACCAGCTCCTCCAGGGAGGGGAGACCAAAACAGTTGGTCCCAACCATGGAGCCAGTTTATATGAATTTGCCAGTTTATATTATGAGCTATGGCATGGAGCTCAGTGAGAGCGCAGAGGTGAATTGGGCACCCTGGGCCTCTTGGATAAGGGGAAATGCCCCCCTCTCCCTCCTATTCCCAGACGGTTTGAAGGGGCAGGAGAATTTCCCAGAGATTATAACCAAGCCAGAAGAACCCATGCATCTATCTCCTCTCCTTCATAATGCACCGCGATGCCAAAGCACCTACAATAGTGTGCTCATCGGCGTACCTGCACACACACGAGCTGTCGGCTCCTGTGCACTTACATGCAGCACGATTGTGCACATGCCAATCCACAGGTGCACGCATGGATTTGCACGTGTACGTGAAGGCCAGAGTCGAGGTACAAGCAGGCCAACGTGTGCATGTGCACTGTGATGTTAATGCACTTGCACTCTTCTGTTTGTGTCTTACAATTAAAAGGCAAAGCCTTCCTTTAGGGAAGGAAAACAAAGCCTGTGGCAAGAATGAAGCAGCCGTATTAGAGACCCACGCGCCCGTCTGCTCCAGATAAAAGGCAGGAGGCTTTACATAAGCTCTGCTGATCCTGCAAAGCAAACGCTAGCAGCCTCCCTCGTCTCACCTGGTTCAACTACAACGAACAGTCGGCAACCAGAGAAGCCCCAAAGGGAAGCTCCCGGCACAGAGCACCCAACGCCCTGCAGAAATGAAGGGGTTCAAGAAAGCACCAATCCTCTTGGGCACTCATCACTACAGTCAGGATTTCTAAGGGAGAAATCCTCCAGATTAAAACCCCATCCCAAAACCAAACCTTTGTGCAACGGGAAACGAATTCAAGGAAAATCCCACTCCCGGAGCCCCTTTGTGCTGGGCAGGAATGAGCCTGTCTGAGGACTAGAAGTAATGGAAAAGAAAAAGGGGGAAGATGAATATCCAACCGTTCTCGAGCCTGATTAGGTTGTCGAATGCTCTTCCCAAGGGAATCACAGCAAAACAAGCCTGGACGGGACCCCAGGAGGTCACCGAGTCCAACCGCCTCGTCAAGGCAGGGGAGCGGTAGAAATGCCCGGCAGCTGAGCCATTTTAATCTGGTTTAAGAAACCCCTGGGGCAAACGCTGCAAAAAAGCAATTGTGGTCCCCAAAGAAGGATTAATGACCCAAGAGCCATTCCCGGTGATTGCGAGCCTCAGAAAGGGAGCGCCCTCCCTTTATTAAAAGAAAAGCACGCCGTATGCAGGAAGGGAGTGAAGCCTTTTCCACTAATTAAGAAATAAACCAGCTCAAAGGAGGGAAAATGGAGCGGGAAACCGAGCCCATCGGAGGAGATGCTTGCTAAATGTGCCATGAAGGCCGGGATGATCCTCGCACCAAGCGAGCTGTCAGCTCCCGGGAGCCCTTGGGGGAGATTCCTGCCTGCAAGTCACTTAAGCTCTTCTCTTGTTTTTAATATAACAAATGGGGCGAGTCTTTTATGGGAGTGCAATTATGTAGGAAGTACGCGGAGAGCAAAAGCAAATCCCTGCCAGGGCCTAACAACAGAGTTCCTGCCCGCGTCCAGAGGGGCACGCTGGAGAAACCAAGCGCGAGTGATACGCCAGGGACCAGCTGAGGCCCCCGGGACTGATCCGAAGCCAGGGGGTAGATAGCTGAAGGATCCCCCCTCCCATGTCAGCACGGAGAGTGAGAGAGGAAGGATGCCGGTAGCCGAGCTGAGATGCAAGCGCTGGTGATTAGTCCCCAAATGGCCTTTCCAGAGGTGAGGAGTGGGCTGGGGGGAGGTGTGACCGGCACCGCATCCCCTCTGCTGTCTTCCCCCTTTGCTCGCCGGTCACCACAAAGCAGCAAGGCTGGGATACCTCTGTCTACACTATGGTTTCTATGCCGCGCTAAAGGGACATGCTTTTGGCCCACTGGTCGCAAAGACTGACCAACATCAGCGCAAACAGGGAAACTGAGGCACGCCACTGAAACAGCTGGGTCCAGCTGGACAGCTGGGAACTTCTCCCGACTCCCAGCGGAGAGGAGTTTTTCTCACCCGTCTCTCATGCCACTCCACATCTTTGCCACAGACCTGGTTTTATGGGCTGAGCACGAGGAAGTGCAACTCTTTTGCTTTCCGAAGCAGCGTTTCAAGCAATGCAAGGCAACGATGCACTCGCCGCACATGCGAGAGGCTGAACGGGGCCCCGGAGGACACATGCACAGCTGCCCTCGAGTCAACAGAAGGTGCTTGCCTGCACCCAGGAGTGAGATTTGGCTCGAGGAGCGTAAGAGCAGCAGGCTTTCGCAGCGGGAAGGTGCGGGACGTTCAATCTGCTCTCAGCAGCTGGAGGTCTCCGCTCGGAGGCAGAGTTTACGGCAGACTTCTCTGCAGCGGGGAGCCGGCACACGGTGGTGGCCTCGGTCCAAGGATGCTTGCACCTCGGTGCCTCCTTTCCCGTTCAGCCCGGGCCAGCAATAAAAAATCGATTTCCAGGATATCCTAACTCAGCCATAAAATCTCGCTTTGGGCTCTGACTTGGCAGGACAAGGTCTCCGCTCAGGAGCAGGAGGTTTATATAAAGCAAAGCTGACCTGAGATTCCCAGGTGCCTGGTGGGGGCAGAGGTGTTTGTCAGGTGATGCCAGGAGAGCACGGGGCATGGCTTTTGAGATGTGAGCCTGGCAAGACGTGTTCACTGATGAACTGCATGTATGTCAGGCAGCACACGTGGCAGAGCAGGTGGTGGTCCAGCGCTGACCCCTCCGATCTGCATACAACGCATGCATGATGTATGCGTCCGGACTGGGCCGTGGCTGCAGGAGCTGGCTCTAGCTTGAGCCCCAGCAGGGAAAGGCGGCCTTCCCGTCACCGCACCCCAGCTCCAGACTCAGGCCCAGCACCACGTGCCATGCACAAGGCCCTGACAAAGGAGCAAGAGCTGGACTCGGGCCTGGAAACAGTAAGCAGCCCGTGTAGGGAGCTGCGAGGCAAGGATCTGTGTCCGCAGGTGATCACGGCGCATCTGCAGTGGAGCAGCTGAGGCTCGCGGGGCAGCAGGGAGAGCGGGGTATCTCTGCTCCTCTAGTCAAACGTGGCTTGAGGCAAGTCAGAAATGTCACGGAGAGGAGCAGATGGGAGAAGCGGAGTGGGGGGAGAATAAAAACGACGCCGAGAAGAAAGGCAGCCGCACGCAGAGAGCCCAAATGGATGCACGGCCCGGTGGAGAGGCAGCCGCTGCATTGTAACCCACGGCTCCTGGGCTGCTCTCTGGAAGCTTTCTGCTTCCTCCTCCAGGAAACTCGGCCATGCTCAGCGCCGCGATGCTGGTGTCCCGCTCAATAGCTCGCTTAGCAGGGGCCGGAGCAGGCTGCTGCCAGGGCAGGGAGCAGGGAGCAACGGCAGGGGTGTGCGGGCTCTGAAGCAAGGCACACGGGCGGTGAGAGGCAAACTCTTCCCTCTTTGCAGAGCGCAGCGGTGCAGCCCCCGTCCAGACCCAAAGCACGTGAAATCCATCCTCCCCGCCATCCTCCTGCCCTCTGACCATCACACCCTGCCGTCTGGCTGCCCCCGGTGCCCCCTGCCAATGCAAACAGCTCTGCCCGTGTCGCCTCCCCCCTCAGCCCAGTACCTCCCCCTCTGGGCCAAACTCCAGGCTGGTAGATGCCCAGCCCTGGAGGATGCCAGCAGCGAGTTGGCCCTGTGCCCTGCAGGCGAGCTGGCCTCACCTTCCTCAGGTGCGCCGTGAGCTCTCCGCAGGTCGGAGATGCAGCAGAGGGAGGGCCGGGCTTGCTGCATCCTGGCGAGCTCTCAGGACCGGCTGTCAGGAGCGAGCGGCTGTGGTCCTGCTGTCCTCACACCTCTTCCACACTCGACTGACTCCCCTGATTGCTTCAACCCTCCTGCCAACGAGCGGTGGGCTGGAGCCGCGGCCTGCGCGCCCGGACGGCTCCCGTACCAGCCAGCAATTACCGGAGGAGGATTAAGAGCCTGGCATTCTTCACCGGCACAAAGCCCTCCTCCTGCTGACAGCACCGCCGAAGCCCCGAGCCCCCCTCTCCTCCGTGCCGCGGCCCTCAGACAACCCCCCTCCTCCCTGAGCTCGTTCACTGGTGTGGCTGCTGGGGGACATGGAAGGACAGAGCGTGAATGACTTCTCTTAAAAGAGCTGGATCCACGAGCCCACCGGAGCCCAGGACCTGCCTGCTGCATCCTCCGCTCGCCCCTTCTAATCCTAGCAGTGGAGAGGTCTCCTGGCGTGACCTTGGGCGAGTCGCTTAGCCTCTTGAGAGAGAACGGCTGGCAAGAAGGGCACAGCCAGTTCCCCGAAGCCCTCGGGGGATTAGGACAACGAGGAAGGCTCCAGAGTGAAGGGCTACGCTGGGTTCAGCCTGCGTCTCCTGCGGGGTCTCAGGAAAGTTACTCCATGCCTTAGTTTCCCCATGCTATTCTTCCCCTTTTGCTCTGCTGGGCAGGTCGTGCTGGTGCCAGGGCCCAGGGCAGGGGCAGCATCCAGGGGCACCGTCCTGGAGGGAGGCACTTGCACTGTGCTGTCCTGGCTCCCTCCCCGGCTGGGCACAGGACAGTGATGCCAAGCTTGAACAGGCTTTGCCTGTGGGGGAACCTCAGGACCCTGCCAGAACCCCATGGCCAGCACAGCTGTGTCCAGAGGGATCTCCCCTCTTCACATGTCTCCCTTACAGGGCATGAATTGGTCATGCAGACGTAGCCAGACTGCCAGTGAGGCTGGCACACAATGTGGGGAACTGCACCTTTAAAGGTCTTGCCAGAGCCAGCTGGTCCCAGCTCTTGCTTTGCACAGAGGCTCACACCAGGCTGTGCCCAAAACGCAGAGGCTGAGCAAAGCAGACCTGGTGAGGCTCTCTGGCTCAGAGTGATTGCTGAACACCACACAGCAGACTTTGATTGAATGCTGGGGGGTGTAACTCCCCCCTGCCCACTTGGGACCTAGCCTCACACACTGCCCTCAGGGTCTACAACCCTAGCAGAGGACCCCAAGGGGACAAATTGCTCCTCACTCTTGTGAGAAAGGCAACTATTAACATGGCTCTACCCTGGAGATGAAGGAACCTGACCAAGGCCATTGAGAGAGTCGGTGTCAGAGATGGGGCGGTAGCTGAGGAGTACCTCATCCCCATCCACAGGGGCTTTGCACTTCCCCAGACCTCTGCTGCCCGTCTTGTACGTTCACTTCTTCCTGCCTTGCCAAGCAGTGCCTCACAATGGTTTCAGCTACGCCAAGCTAATGCATCTCCCCCTCCATACCCCGCACACCCGCAAGCCTCCACCTACTTCCCTCTCTCAGTGCATTTCCTAAACAATAAGTCGGGGTCTGTTCTCTGCTGCAGACCCCTCCCCTCCAGGCAGAGGGCCCCATCTCTCTTTACAGGGGCTCTTTCCACTGTTCAACTTCTCCGCCGAGGTCCCTCTGCCAACCATTGCTCAGTCAGACAAGACACAACAATTTGTGAAGCTTGTCTTGGAGACCCTTATTTCCCTTGGGGACCTGGCACAGCCCTTCCAGAACTACCTCCTGCCAAAGAGCACAGACCCGGCACGTCCATTTCATGGAGGGGGAAAACAGAGGCTGCAAAGATAAGGGACTCTCCCAGGTTCTCGTGGGACCAGCAAGTCCTGGGACAGCACCTGGCCAGGCCCTGCCTCCTGGCACCGGTTTCTTTTATTTTCTATTCTAGTTATTTGACAAGCAAAGCTGCAAAGACCCAAGGACCCCTTCCCCCTCCGACTTTCTGCATCTTTCCTATCACTCCAGAGCCACCCCCAGAAATGGAGCTCCTGGCCCCATGTGCAGACATCTGTTTTGGGTGCTTATCTGGTCCCGGTCACTGCACACCAGCACAGCAGCTTCCTGCCCGAGGGAGCCTTGATATGAATCACCTGATCCCCCTCTGCCAAGCCCAGACACCTGCTCTCACAGGGACGCTGTCCCCAAACGGGACTGGCCATAAAGGGGCACAGCACCTTGTTCCACCCCTCCGCCCCTGCTCTAATCACCGGGTAGCACTCTCTCCTTCGAGGCAGGTTTCACCGAGTTTCTAGACACTGGTGCAATGTAGAGGAGGGAGAAGATGCAGCTGCTCACCCTGCTAACCTGCTCTTCCCCTCTGCAGAGCCTGAAACCACAGTCTGCTCATCTTCCCTCGCTGCCCTTTTGGGTATCAGCTGGGCCTCTCTGCAAAGGCAAGGCAGGCAGAGAGGAGGACTGGGGCCAGGCAGCTGGATACAGACCTAGACAAGCTGCTTTCTGCAAGGGGCAAGAGGAATGGGAGCTCCTGAGTGGTGCATGCCTCTGGACTTGGCTTTAGGACCTGAGTCTGGGACTGGGAATTCACTAGACTCCTTCCAAACGCACAGCAGCTCCGACTTGTTTTCCCCTAAGTCACTTTTAATGCTAGGTTTACGGACTGGCTGGCTGAAAAAGAAGTGCTACATGATCTCAGTGCAATAACAGTCACCGCCGGGAACGGCAGTAATGGAAAACCCTAATAGCTTGTGAATCCTGGAGGAGGCAGCCTGCTCTGGGGCTGGCATCTCGGCACAGGACGCGGTGAACGAGACGGTGCCAGCGCCCCGGGGAAGGGCGTGCCCATTGTTCTGAGTCAGATGCCGTTTGATCGCTACCTGCTGCCCTGAATTGTCTCAGAGCATCCTTTATGTGCCAGCCTTGCCCGGCTGCGTGTAGCTGTTCCCAGCCTTCCCCCGAGAGAGGGGAATTTGGAACAAACCAAAAGCATGCAAAATTAGCAGCAGGATTCTCCCATGGCAGAGAGGAAGGATGCACTGGGGATTAGGGCACAAGTGTGAAGTGGCAGAAGTGCCAATTCAAATATTTCCTCTGCCACAAAGAGCTGGTGTGACTTTGGGAGAGTCACTTAGCCTCTTTGGAGAGAAGAGCTGGAAAGAACAGCACAGCCAGGGGGGCCGGGAGATTAAATCCATTTGCACTGGCGAGGTGCAGTGATGGGGACCAGATAAGCACCCAAAATAGATGGCTGCACATGGGGCCAAGAGCTCTATTTCTTGCTGCACCCCCCCTTGCAAAGCATGTTTTATGACCAGCACGGTCTGGGGAGCAGGCATTTGGCACCTAAGGGTGCGAGAGATTTTCCACCATCACAGAAATGGATTTGTGGCTAAGACAAACTAGAAACCGGTTGCCTTTTCCCTCCCTACCAGTTTGCAGAGGAGAAAAAGCAATCCAGACTCTTCTGAGACCCTGCTGGAATTCATCACATCCTCACCACCACTTACTCCTGGCATACCGCAGGTGCCGGGAGAGCAAAACCACTGCATTATCCTACTCCCACCCATCATTAGGATGGGAGATTTCTACCCTGCCCCCAGACGCAGAGTCTTGGGCACTGGCTTCTAGTGATGTGGCCGTGCTGAAGAGCTCCCCAGAGCAGAGCTAATTGCTAAGACCCTCCTTATATTATCTGATTTCTTTAATCGCATGCTACTCTGAGCAAATTTAGCTGCAGGGCATGCACTTTGCTCTACTCTGAGTGCCCCATGGGCTACGGGGAGGTTTCACGCCTTTAACTGGAGAGAAGGACTGATGTCAATGAACCAAATTCATCCCCGGTGCAAGGCCTCTGAGTGCAGCAGAGCGGCAGCAGGGATGAATCTGGCCGGTGAGTAACTGAATACCCTATCTGGGATTAGCATAATCCTAGGATTCCAGATTGGCTTCCTTTTTTAATTCTCTCCCATTGAAAATTTAAGCCACACATCCCTTGCCTT